GAGAGAGACTTCACCCTGAGTCATAAGGAAAAGGGGACGGCGTATTCTCTTAGCTACTTCCTGCTGAAAAGGGACGCTGTGGGTTTCAGGGACGCGACACTCCACTAGTACTGGGATACCAACAACAATGATACAAGTAGCATATGGCTGATGCCTATTTTAATTATGTATGCTTTCTAGCAGCATTTAAATCTCAGACTTTGGAAAATATTTAGATTTAGCAATAAAAAAGAATATGTTATATTCTAAATATATACCACTAATTTAACATGATATTTTAGTAAACTCATTGCTGGAATAAAAAAAAAAAAAGTAGTATGCTCATACTGCCTGCAAAATAAAATTATATGACAATTCTATCTGGTTATTCACTGTCCTCAGGAATAAAAATCTTGTGGATAGACCTAGTGTAGCTCAGAGGTCTTAGAAAAAGCCATACATTAAAGCTGTATGGTTTTAGTATGTAGAACACACAATAGTAGGTGGTACCCTGGCTCTGTGAGTCTACTATCTCCTGACCTCCCTCCACCACTCCTCACAACAAGGTTCCTTCCACTCTATGCCTTCCTGTCTTTGAACTTACTGTTTTGGCTAGGCCAACAGTTTATAGCTCAGCTATAACTCATCTCCTAAGCCTGCTCCAACTCTCTCCTCCCACCATATGAGTAATTTTGGAGGGGTTTTTTGCTGTCCTTACTCTGCTTTGTGGCATACTCATGCACAATGTACAGCCCTATTACACGCAAAGCATCAGAGACATGCTAAGCTTTATGAGAGATTCCTGGTACACAGAAAAGGCATGATGTTTCCAGGAAATTCAACCCAAAGTCAGAAAAGTCCTGCTCAAAGATAATTCTCACCTAGCTTTCAATTTACCATCAGGGTTAGTCTATAGGCAGCACTCTGCCTTGTACCTGGTAGTACAGAAGGCAAGTGTTCAGCATGGGGCATCTAGCACAGTCCTCCAGAAGGATGAGGTAAGGAATCATAAAAAAATGAAAGGCATCTCACTACCCAGATAAACTGGCTACATCCCAAAGTTAGTGAGTCTCTTGGTTCTCCGGCCAGTTACATAATCCTTAACCAAGGATTTCATACTTGAAATTTGATCAAGGATACTATACATGAGAAAAAAGCAGAATGTCACTAAGACAGAAAAAAACCAAAAGAGATGTCAGAACACACTGAAACATGGAACAGAGAGCAGAAGCTAAAACAAAAGGCAGAAATCATGCATAAGACAATGGAATAGAAAATTTCAAAAAAGATCTTGAGAAAACAAAGTATAATAATGAAATATGAAATTCCCTAGTCTTAGAAAACTTCAGAGAGAAGCACATGCTCTACATTTCTCAAGTTGGAAGAACTGAAGGGGGGGGGGATCACACAAAAGCAAACATCAAATTGCAATACTGAAATATTCCATGGGGAAAATGTTGTATAATGTAACAATATCAAAAGAAGATGGGAAGAATATTCAGAATCACTGTACCAAAAAGATTTGGTTAACACTGAACCATTTCTGAAAGAAACACAATTAAGAACCAATGGCACTGAAGAAAGAAGTTTAGGCTGTTCTGAAGCCAATGGCAAAAAAAGGAAAGCTCCAGGAATTGACAGAATATAATGTAGCTGTTTCAACAACAGATGTAGCCCTAGATGCGCTCACTTTTCTATGTAAAGAAATTTGGAAGACAGATATCATGCTAACTGGAAAACTTCTCTATTTGTGACCATCCCAAAAAAAGTGATCTAACAGACTGTGGAAATTATCAAACAGTATCACTAGTAACACAAACAAGCAAGTACAATCTCGCCAAAGACTGGACTCGCTAAAGACTCAAAAAAGGCTGGAGCCATCACCAGGGAACTGTTAGAAATTTAAGCTGGATTCAGAAGAGTCCATGGCATAAGGATATCATTGCTGATGGCAGACGAATCTTGGCTGAAAGGAGAGAATACAAAGAGGTTTACTTATGTTTTATTGACTATACAAAGGCCATGGATCATGACAGATTATATAATACCAAAATAAAATTCCAGAACACTTAATTGTGGACATGTAGAATGTGTACAGGAACTAAGCAACAGCCATTCGAACAGAGTAAGGGTTTAAAATCAGGAAAGGTGTGTAAACAGTTGGAGCCTTTCAGTATATACATTGAATACATATACTGAGCAAATAATTCAAGAAGCTGCACTCTGGCATTAGGTTTGGAGGAAGACTCATTCACAACCTGTAATAGGCAGATGACACAAGAGTGCTTGTAAAGAATGAAGAGAATTTGAAGCTTTTGCTGAAGAAGATCAAAGACTATCACTTCTATTAAGGATTATACTACAACAAGAAGATCCTCTACACTGGACCAATAGGCAACATCATGATAGAAGGTAAGATTGAAGATTTCAATGATTTCTTTTTACTTGGGTTAACAATCAACAAAGCAGCAGCAGTCAGAAAATTAAACATGTTGCCATAAGTAAAAAGACATCTTTAAAATACTAATAAAGAGCGCTTTCTATGAAGATGACACTCTAGTCCCTCTCAAAACTGAAGCTAAAGCAAGGACATTAAAGGCCAAGACGGTAGTCCTAGTCACAAGTAAAAAAAGTTATGTACAAGTTCAAGCTGCTTTGAAGGAAATAGCAAAGAATAAGGCCCCCGGAATAGATGGTATACCAATTGACATATTTCAGCTAACAGATGCTGCCCTGGATGTGCTCACCAAGTTGTGCCAAGAAATCTGGACTGACTGGAAGAGGTCTATATTTGTTCCCATCCCAAAGAAGGGCGACCCAACTGAGTGTGGAAACTACAGAACAATAGCATTGATTTCACATGCAAGCAAGATTCTACTGAAGATTATCCAAAAACGACTGGAACAACACATCAGCAGAGAACTGCCAGAAGTCCAGGCTGCGTTTAGAAGGGGTCGTGGTAC